GGTGGTGGCGCACGCCTTTAATCCCAGCACTCGGGAGGCAGAGCCAGGCGGATCTCTGTGAGTTCGAGGCTAGCCTGGGCTACCAAGTGAGTTCCAGGACAGGCACCAAAACTACACAGAGAAACCCTGTCTCAAAAAAAAAAAAAAAAAAAACTAATCAGAAGAGATATAGAAGGACACCACATATGCAAAGGAAAAATCCACAAGGACGACAACAAGGAGGACATTGCAATTCCTAACATCTGTGCCCCAAACACAAGTACATCTAAGTTCACAAAGAAACATGACTTCTGCTTAAATCACATATTGAACCTCATACGCTGATAGTGGGAGACTTCAGTTCCCCACTCTTGCCAATAGACAGGTCATCCATGCAAAAACTAGGCAGAAATGCTGGAGCTCACCAACATTATAAACCAAGTGAACCTAACAAATACTTCAGAACATTTCACCTATACACAAAAGAATATACCTTCTTTTCAGCACCTTATGTAACTCTTTCCAAAGTTGGCCACATACTCAGACACAAAGCAAGTCTCAACAGATACAAGAAAATTGAAATAACACCCTGCATCCTATCTGAGCACCACAGATTAAAGCTGAGTATCAACAGAAATGTTACAAACTCATGGGAACTGAACAGTTCACTACTGAATGACAAATGTGTCAAAACAGAAATAAGGAAATAGAGACTTTCTAGAATTGAGTGAAAATAAATACACAACACACCCAAACTTACGGCATACATGAAGGCTGTTCTAAAAGGCAAGATCATAACACTAAGTCCCTACGTAAAAACAAATTGGAGAAATCTCGTACTAGTAGCTCAACAGCATACCTGAAAGCTGTAAGACAAAAAGAAGAAATTACACCCAAAAGTAGATGGCAAGAAATAAAAATCAGAGCTGAAATCAATAAAGTAGAAACAAAACATAGAAAGAATCAATGAAAAAAAATACAAAGAATCAATGAAACAAATATTTGGTTCTTTGAACAAAATCAACAAGGTTGACAAACCATTGTGCAAATTAACTAAAAGGCTAAGAGAACATCTAAATTAACACAATTAGAGATGAAAAGGGGGGCATAAC